GGGCTCCGCGCCTGAGTGCAGCTTTGTGTCCCTGCGTGAAGTCCTGAGGGACAGGGTCTACGTGACCCCGCCTTGAGAGTCCTCATGTGGGCAGGGAAGGGTTTTCTTCAGAATAGGTACTAGACGTCAGCTTTGCCAACCTGGTTATTTGTTCTGGGTAAACTACTACTTGCAAGGAGTTGAACCAGCCACTGGAACGGTTAAGGAAGGCATTTTTAGGTAAGGGGTACCACACGGGGACCCAGTTAATAGGCGCAGCTGTGTAAAATCTTCTCAGGTAATGCTGCCCTTTATCATTTTTATGAGCTCATTTACAACAGAGGGCTGGTCCCAAGTTATCGGCTGTGTATGTATTTCAGGCTCAAGTCCAAGATCTCTGGCAAAACAACAGTTCTGGTTCAAAGCAAGGCTCTTCAAGAGCTTGTAAAACCAACAGAGGAGCCATAAGGATGCTAGCTACTCCTGGCACCATTCACAAATCCGTCCGCCTGTCATCAGTGCCTCGGGCCTTCTGAAATCCTGCCCTAAAATCCCATCAGCTCTGTAATTGCTACCTTTGGGTGTACAGGGTAACATCCCTGGAATCTGGAAATCAAGCTGCCCTCTAGAAGTTAAACCCTTCAAGTCCCCACACGACAGATAGGATTAGTTAACGTGCACCAGGCCCTAGAGAGAACAGGATGTCTCCCTGGTGAAAGCTGGAAGTTGGCCGTGGAAATTCAATCCAGGCATGCCTGCGTGTGAAGGAAACAGGGGCAGAACAAAAGCTCAGAAAAGCTTCCGTACAGCAGGTGAGGGGCTCTGAAGGGTCTGAAAGACCAGAGAGAGGAAGGATCTGGCACTCACCAGAATAGAGGGGGACCTGGTGGGCAGGTGTATCCCACAGAGCGCACACTGTCCTACCTCAGCGACACGACCCATGTAAACACACATGACTCCCCGTGCCCTGGTCCGTATTCACTGAAGCCTCTGATTCTGACTTCCTGCGCAGGGGAGTGTTGCTGAGCGGTCGCCATGACACGGGTCTCAGGCCCCTTGGCAATTTTATTTCTCATTATAAATTAATAAATCATCATTTTGATAAGCCTCTTGAGAGTCCCTTTATTCTTCTCGGAACGCTATCAACTCTGATTTTAGACTTGTACAGCTGATATCCAGACCTCAGCCCAACCTGAGTGTGCCACCATACTCCCCACTCACATTTTAAGTTTTTTTTTTGGTTTGTTAGTTTGTTTTTAGAGTACATGCATGCGTGCGAGCGGAGGCGGGGGAGGGGCCAGAGGGAGAGGGGAAATCTTAAGCAGGCTCCATGCTCAGGGCAGCCTGAGAGGCAATCTCACCACACCGACATCATGACTTTAGGCAAAAATCCAGTCACAGGCTTAACCGAGAGCTACCCAGGAGCCCTCCGCACTCCAACATTCTTCTTTTTTTTTTTTTTTTTTTAAGATTTTATTTATTTACTTGACAGACAGAGATCACAAGTGGGCAGAAAGGCAGGCAGAGACAGAGAGAGGGGGAAGCAGGCTCCCCACTGAGCAGAGAGGACTCTGGGATCACGACCTGACCTGAGCCACCCAGGAGCCCCTCCCACATTTTTTTTTTTTTTTTTTTGGTATTTATTTATTTGACAGAGAGACACAGCGAGAGAGGGAACACAAGCAGGGGGAGTGAGAGAGGGAGAAGCAGGCTTCCCACCAAGCCGGGAGCCCGATGCGGGGCTCGATCCCAGAATCCTGGGATCATGACCTAAGCCGAAGGCAGACGCTTAACAACTGAGCCCCCCAGGTGCCCCCCCCCCCCACATTCTTAATCAGTACTTGCCCATTATTGACCTCAGCCTCAAAATCCTGTCCTAGGCACTTCCATGACCGTTTGGTGGGACCAGGAATGGGAGAACACCTTTCACCCCTGCAGCCCTGGCCCAGAACAACTTGGCCAGCGTCTTTGACAGCATGGTAAATGGTTCTCATGGCAGAAGTTACAGTAAGCATGATTTCAGGAAATGGCAAGCCAGCTTATAATGCCCCAAATCAGGGTTATTTTCTGGAGTATGTTCATCTATCTATTCTTAATAATGTACAGCAAGAATAGAACAAAGAACAGTCATCATGTTGCTTTCTAAGTATTGCTTTGCACATGATCCCACATCGAGCAATGGCCTTACACTCCTGTGTACAGGAGTTCTCCTTACACTCAAGGAGCAATACACTTCTGGGCTCAAAGATTCTTTGTAAATAAACCGACCTACATCCCCTGGGAACGTGGACTGCCATTTAAACTGGGGCATTGAAAACAATGTTTATCAGATGTTTATATTGGTAGAGTAAATTTTGGGATAGCCAAGCACAAACTTAGAATATAAACTTGTGGGCACCTGGGTGGCTCAGTGGGTTAAGCCGCTGCCTTCGGCTCAGGTCATGATCTCGGGGTCCTGGGATCGAGCCCCGCATCGGGCTCTCTGCTCAGCGGGGAGCCTGCTTCCTCCTCTCTCTCTGCCTGCCTCTCTGCCTGCTTGTGATCTCTCTCTGTCAAATAAATAAATAAAAAAATCTTTAAAAAAAAAATATAAACTTGTATTTTATAACTCTATTTTTGTATCAAAAACCCCTCATGTATTATAAAACAGGAATGAAATATACAGTTGATACAGCTGACCCTTGAACAATGTAGGGGTTAGGGATACTAACCCCTGTTCAGTCCAAAATCCACACACAATTTTTGACTCACTCAAAACTTAAGTACTAATAGCCTACCAATGACCAGGGCCCTTACTGATAACATAGTTGAGTATATATTATATACTGTATTCTTATACAAAGCAAGTTAAAGAAAACGCTATTAAGAGCATAACAATGGGGGCGCCTGGGTGGCTCAGTGAATTAAAGCCTCTGCCTTCAGCTCAAGTCATGATCCCAGGATCCTGGGATGGAGCCCCGCATGGGGCTCTCTGCTTAGTGGGAGTCTGCTCTCCCCCACCCCCCGTCCCCTGCCTGCCTCTCTGCCTATTTGTGATCTCTCTCTGTCCAATAAATAATAAAGTCTTAAAAAAAAAAAGAACACCATAATGAAGAGATAGCACAGATACAGTTCTGTGTGGTATTTATCAAAACAATTCGGGCGCCTGGGTGGCAGTCAGTTAAGCATCTGACTCTTGGTTTCGACTCTGGTCAGGATCTCATGGGTTGTGAGATTGAGCTCTGCACTCAGCAGGGAGTTGGTGTGAAGATTTTGTCTCCCTCTGCCACCCCCCCCCAAGTTCTCTCTCTCTTTCAAATAAATAAATAAATAATTTTTTTAAAAAATCCATGTGTGGGACACCTGAGTGGCTCAGGGAGTTGGGCCTCTGCCTTCGGCTCCGGTCATGATCTCAGGGTCCAGGGATTGAGCCCTACATCGGGCTCTCTGCTCAGCGGGAAGCCTGCTTCCCTCTTCCCCTCTGCCTGCCTCTCTGCCTACTTGTGATCGCTCTGTCAAATGAATAAAAAAAAGCATGCGTAAGTGAACCTGTGCATATCAAATCCGTGTTGCTCCAGGGTCATCTATTCTAAGATTCACAGTCAGAATTTGGTGGAAGGATTCCAGCTCCTGCTTTTACTTTTGTTTTTTCCAAATGTTCTGTGAATCTTTATTACTCTTATAGCAAAACAGAAAATACATACTAATTTCTTAAGTTACCCTGTGATGAAACATAAGCACGAAGAAGAATGAGAACAGAGACCACTTGAATATCGTACGTCATTTTCTCACCTGTTGCACACAGTGCAGGAAACACGATGAAGCAGGTGGACTGAGGCAGGGATGCAGAGACACAGCGGACCTAAGGTGGCAGCCCCCGGCACAGGTTCATGTCAGGAGCCGTTGCCACCAGGTCCGCAGCCAGTCGCAAGAAGCTGCATTTCCCAGAAAGAGTTGAGGCTGGTTTAACCAGACCCGCTGATATCCACAGGCATCAGGACAGGGGGACACGAATGGACCGCCTTTGTAAACCCCCGACGCTGAATGCTGCCTCGGCCGACACAAGGGGTGCCGTTTCCGTGCAGTCAGGCAGGCCGTGTTCTGCCTTCCATTTCTGAGAAGGAATAGAGGATGAACCCCAGAAAAGCCAGAGGAAATCTGACTTGGATTTCACCAAAAGTATAACAAAATTAAAAGTAGCAGATCTGGATCTTGGTGGAGGCCCTCAGCTTTTCTAGCTGTCCAGAAACTGAATGAGCCTTGCGTTGATAAATATTCCCAATTCCCCTTCACTCCCACTGCTGGAACAAAAGCAGCAATGATTTTCGTAACAAGTGTTTCAAGCACCTTAAGTTTCTGGGCAGATTAATTCTTGCCTCTGCTTTAAGATAATTTGCATCTGAAGTCGACTTCCACAAGAATATGGAATTCAGAGCATCAGCAATACCAACCTTTTTTTTTTAACTTTTTTTTTTCATAAAGAAGTTATTTTTTTTTGAAGGATTTTATCCATTTATTTGCCCCCCCCACACACACACAGCACAAGCAGGGGGAGCCGCAGGCAGAGAGAGAAGCAGGCTCCCTATTGAACAAAGAGCCCGATGTGGGGCTCCATCCCAGGACCCAGTGACCACGACCCAAACCACAGGCAGGCACCCAAACAACTGAGCCACCCAGGTGTCCCTAAACAATTTTTTATTATTTTTTTAAAAAGATTTTATTTATTTGACAGTGATCACAAGTAGGCAGAGAGGCAGGCAGAGAGAGAGGAGGAAGCAGGCTCCTCGCAGAGGAGAGAGCCTGATGCAAGGCTCGATCCCAGGACTCTGGGATCACGACCTGAGCCGAAAGCAGAGGCTTTAACCCACTGAGCCACCCAGGCGCCCCGCTAAACAATTTTTTTAAGGATTTTATTTATTTGAGACAGAGAGATACAGAGAGAGAGCATAAGCAGGGGGAGAGGGAGAAGCAGATTCCCCACTGAGCCAGGAGCCCAATGTGGGACTCGATCCCAGGACTCTGGGATCATGACCTGAGCTGAAGGCACTTAACCACCTGAGGCACCCAGGTGCCCCAACACCAACCTTCTAGACACTTGCTCCAGCCCTACATTAGAAAGAAAATGAAGGTCCCTGGAAAGCACACTATAGTAAGCAAGCTGGTTTCAGACTTTTTGTTAAAAATATCAACATTGGGCAACTGGCTTATCCCCATTCCTACTCTCATGGAGTGTCTTTCGGCACGTGGCTGATTTCCTGACAAAGGAAACAGCAGAGGGCTACGATAGGCCTAGTTTGTACCGAAGTGTAACCACAGGGGTCACAGATCACGTTGGCAAATTTCTAATAGCCATCTCTTGTGACCAAGGTCCTGGCTCTCCAAGCCCGGACGTTCTGTGAACAAGGCATGGAAAGAGCGCCACCTCTGGGTGAAGTGTGGTTCCTCTCCACTTCCTAGCCCCCAAGTAACTAGGAAGAGATGCCCTCATTTGGGGGTGGATGGATCAAATCAAGACTGGAGCTCCTGCGCACAGTGCCTCCTGGGAGCATTATCTGAGCCAAGGGCATGAAACTAGAATGGAAACTACTGAGTATGTGTGTATAGAGGCTGGCGGGGGCGGTTGTCTCATCGCAAACGGAGAGAATTTAAGAGGAATAAAGCTATAGATCAAATGCTAGGGGAACATTCCTCCTGTTGGGAAAAGCCCCAGGGTTCCTTGCTTCTTGATGCCTGTTAGGAAAACACACACAGGGGTCCCCTGGCTGATAAAGTGACCTCAGGGGCAATGGGAGGTCAGCACTACTATTCCCTTGACTCCAGACCAACAAAGCATGCTGCTCTCTGCACAACTTGTCTACCTGCCCGGGAAACCAGGACATGATGATCAGGGAGGCAGGAGATCCTGCTGTGCTCGGCACTCAGAGGGGCTCGGTAATCACCTCAGTGAATCTGAGAACAAAGCTGCCAGGAGAAAGCTGTGTGCGGGGCGGCTGGGGGCAGCCGGCGCCATGGCTCTAGGCAGCTCTCGGCCGCTCCACAGACCGGCTCCAGAGCACTCCCGTGCCTCCCGCACCTCCAAATGTCACCTTCTGACTGGAGCTGTACAGAGAAGCCGGGGAGACCTCCTGACACAGGTGGGTGTCCCTGGGCAAGCCCTAAGGCCTGACCCAGGGCTACCTGCAGTGCCTGAGACCGGATGTTGGGACCGGCCAAGAAGCGGTCAAGCTACTGTTGCCAATAGCTGGACATGGTTCTTGGCCCCGGAGGTGCAGGTGATAAAGCACAGTGCTTCCAAGGATAACGCATGGTGGTGCCCGTTTATTCTACACCTGGTCACAGCAAATCTTACACACCCAGACCACAGCCAGGCTAAGCGCCACATGGCTATAAGCGACTGGAAGAAACAGAAGCTGTGCTCTGCTCTGGCGCACCGTCACCTGCACAGGAAGGTGCTCTGGTGCATGGTCACCTGCACAGGAACCACAGCGGCCTCACCAGCCTTCTTGGAGGCAGTGAGACCACATTCCCATCCCTAGGCCTTAGGGACATCTCTGAGGGGCAACTCCAGTTTGGAGCTCCCAAAATCCTGGGTGCCTCTCTGGAAGCCAAGCCCCGTCCAATAAGTCATTCTGAGTCCAGGCTGTGCCAGAACCTCGAGCATCGGGAGCTGCAGGGGGACCTTAGGCGGGGTCACAGAGCAGCTCTGGGGGCCCCGGGGCTTCAGGGCCGACGATCCTTCCTGCGGAGTTTGTGTCCCACCTGGGATCCCCGCTGGGCAGCTCTCACCAGGCCTTTGAACTGTCCCTGCAGCTTCACCTTCTTCCTGCAGGGAAAGGAACAGAAAGGTCACATCTCCCTGAAGACAGGCAGTCCCCCTAACCATAATGCTGAAAGATGGCCCCCCAGCATTAGGAGGAATAGGGGGAAAGTGTGCTGCCTGGCAGTGGACCGCACGTGATCTGGACAGACCGGGCGTTCCCCTGCCTGAAAGAGCAGTTCAAGTCAGCAGCACACGTGTTTGCCAATGGTGTGACGGTGCACGTTAAAAAGTCCAAATTAAAAAACTGGGAAACACTTAGACATTAAGCTGAAGAGTTTACTGAGAATGAGGCCCTCCCCTCTTAGGAGCTCGGAGCTCCCAGCCCCACAGCCACCATCCCAGCCGACCCTGCAGCACCCATCACGTACCTGCGGTTGAGCTTGGTTCTGTTGAGGGGGATGTAGGCGTAGGGGTCGAGCCGACCTTTCTTCTTCACGTCACCCTTTGCTTTCTGCTCAGCCATAGACACAGAATCAGCCAGGAGCGTAAGGTTGCCCTTCCTCCCTGCTCCTGACTTAACAGGGCCCGTGTCCTCCCCTTCACTCTGTGCCTTGGTGGCACCAAGGGCACTCACATCCCTGCAGTGGCGCCCAACAAGGGCATGGACTTGAGATGCTAACAGATCCTCAGTGCGCCCGTCGCCGTGGCCTGAGTCTGGACTACACAGCTGCCCTCGCCCTTTCCCAGGGGTTCTGTCTCTACCCATGGCTCTTACCTTGGCCTTGTACTCGGCCCCAGGCATAGCCTTCTTGGCCACAGGGCGGTGGATGCCAGAGCCTCCAGCTAAAGGGAGAACACAGAGGCCATGAATCAGGCAAAGCCAGGGCAGCATCCTCCCATGAGAAGGAAATGGGTACCTTCTCTCTGCAGAGCTGCCAGGGAGCAGACAAATCAAGGCTCGCAGCCGGCTCTGTCCCCTACCCAGCAAGGAAAAAGACCTTCCTCGAGAAGGGACTGTCCAGTGGCTTGACAGTTTAGACCAGTGGGCTCGTCAGTGGCCCTGAAGCTGCAGAGACCGACCAGCGACGTCTGAGAACACACCCCTTCTCTGCTAACACAAGCCACCCCACAGTCTCCAAAGCCAAATCCGCTCTGTCTGCTCTAGAGAAAGAACATAGGCTCTGAAGTCAGACCCAAACCCAGCTCCCTGTTGAACCACGACCGGCTGAAACCTCAGCAAGTCTCTGAGTTTCTGGAGCTTTTAACCTCATCTGTAGAACAAGGCACTTCGGGCTTCAGCTCGTTTGGGCTGCACACTGACACTGACAGAGAAAGGCGGCTCTTGTCCCATTGTACAGACTTGCGAACTGCAGGTACAGACACCCAGGTGCTTCCAAGGTCACCTGGCATTTCCAGTCCGGATCTGAACACACTCATGAGTGGAATTCTACAATGATGACTCAGGAGGACTCTCTGAGATACTCCGGATGAAGGCTGCTTTTTCTTTCACAGGTGAGAAACTGGAAGCTCAGAGAGGTGGCAGGACTGGGCCAAGTCAGCCTCATAGCAGAGCACCAGCTGTCCCGCCCCTGGGGCCTGTGCCACACTGGCTGGTTCCACACCACAGCACCTCAGAGCAGAGGCGACAAACTGGGTGCTGGCCTGGGAGGCCACAGAGGGAGAAGCCAGGAGGCTCTCTAGCTGGGTCAGGCTGCCAGAAGACTCCGAGGACAAATCTGTTCCTGCGGCTGGGGACTTGCAACAGAAGCCCCTGTCCCTCCAGATGCACCGCTGGGGCTCTGCTGGGGCCACTCAAGGCCAGGGGCTGCCCGCAGGGGAGGGGGCCGGAGATGAGTAACAGAGACCTCCCCTGGTCTCGGGCAGCCATGCGGGTATCTCTAGCAGCTGCTCTGGGGAAACGAACAGCTCAGGGGACCAGAGACAAATGAGTAAGGGAACACCCTGGGCTGACCCTCCCAGCTGACCCCCCCAGCTGCCACCTTCCATCCTTCCAGGCTAAGGTGGTCTCCCCAAACCCAGCCCAACTCAGGGCTGGACAAGAGATGCAGACACCCCCAGGAAAAGGGGTGTGCTGCAAGCCTCACGGAAGGCCTAGGTGGGTGGGACAGAGATGGGGCTCAGGGGCTCCCAGAAGGGCTGGGGGTTCCATGCAGAGACCTCCTGACCCCCCGGCCCTGACACTCTCAGGCCCTACCCCAGTCCTGGGTGACATATTGGCCAATCTTTGTCGGTGCTGACTGACTGCAACGTGGCCATGCAAACTCGTGGCTCTGCCTGCAACTCCCTGACTAACACGGGGACAAGGAACACAGTGTCCCAAGAGGGAAGCGTGGAGGCCTCACCTTGGTACCGAGGTGGCATTTCTAGCTCCTCATCGTCAGCCTCGTTCTGATGCTTGAGCTTCTGGTGTTTCTTCTATAAAGTGGTGAGCAACATTCATTAACAAGGATATATGATCACCTCATTAATGTTCCCAGTAAGAGCAAGCAACCTGTGTTAGGAGAAAAGGTTCCCAGCCAAGCACTCCACCCTCCACTTACAGACGAGCACACTGAGGCTCAGAGAGGGTAAGGAACTAAGATCACACAGCTAAATAGCACAGAAGCAAGGTTCCAGCCCAGGCCCTGACTGCTTCACACAGAACTCCTGTCCCAGGGCTCCAAGTGCCCATCTAGGTATCCTAACCTAAGCTTACGCTCCTGTTCGGAGGGGGCCTCCTGCATCAGGGGTCTCTCAAACCCTCAGCTACACTCTGACCCTGTAACTCTGATCTTTTATGTCTGGTTTTCACCCAGGTCTCCAAACAGAATTCTGCATGGGTGCAATGCTGTGGTAACAAGGCAGTTCGTCGGGCCCTGGTGGGAAGACGGACATCTGGCCAGGGACAGGGCAGTGGTGAATGATATTAACGAAAGCAGTAATTTGGGGAGAAGACCACCAGATGCTATACTCATGTGCTTGACATGTCCAATCTCATCCAGCCAGCCCGATAATTCTTTAAAATCCACAGGTGACAAACTGAAAAGTCAGGCTGCAGTCGGAATGGGGCCCCAGGACCTGCCTTCACTACTAACACTGTATCCCCTGCCTCTCCCCTGTCCCAAGGGGGATACCCAGGAAGGCTGAATGGGCTGGCCACAGTCTGAGAGGACAAAGAAATAAGACATTGCTCCAAAGTGCCCCCGGAAGTGTTGTCTGCTGGGCGTAGGAAGGACAGTGAGGGGCTGGGCTCACATCACCCTCGCTAGTTCGGGTGGGGCCGGTGAGAGGCTGCACTCCATCCTGGGAGTTACCAAGGGGGTTAAATTCTGGGGCTCAGGAGATGGGAAGGCCAGGGTTCGAATCCCCTCTGCACTTAACAATCCCTGTAAACTACTTACTTTCTGCAAGCCCCCTCTGCAAACGGGGATGATGAGGGTCCCCGTCACCTGTGAGGATTGCTGAGGTGACGCATGGGGCCCTGTGCACTCCCCAGTGGTGGCTGCCCCTGCCCCACGCAGGAACCTGCCCCTTGGAACACAAAGGCCAGATGTTGCTTGAGCCCTCGGGGGAGAGAAAAAGGGCTCTGCCTGTCTCCTTCAGCTGGTCACCCACTACAGTGTGCCCTGTAACACACACCATACCCTCTGGACTGCCCCCTACGCACCACCGCAAGGCTCTGCTGTGGATTCAGGAAACAGGGCAGGTGTGTGTGTGTGCACTGTGTCGGGGAGGGGAGTTAGGGATAGACAGGCAGAGGACCTGTCAGCCCAAGGCTTCGCCCTGAGGGCACAGCCGCCCATCAGAGGAAGTACTCACACTCCTGACACCCATGTCTTCCATCACGTCAGTCATCTCTTCGTCCTCCCCTGGAACCAAAAGGAAGAAAGGCCTGTGAGCATGCAGGGAGCACCCGTTTGCCCAAAGCCCACACACATGTCGTCCTGCCTTCTCCTGTCTCATCAGGCTGACGGAGCTGGCAACTCCAGCCCAAGAAAACCCACGTCCTTCTGGGCGAGACAAGACTCCTGAACACCGACTGCCTCTTTATCTTTCCCATCCTAGGCCCCATGGATGACGGCCCCTCAGGGAAGTGGTGATCCCACTTCTGAGATAAACACAGCTTGTTCTGAGACCCTAAGAAAACCCTGGGTTTCCTGGGGAGTCAGACACGCCTCAGCCCCACAGACATCCCGCTCTGCCTGGAGGACAGCCTCATTCTCCTACTTGAGAAACCTTTCTTTCTTTTTCTTTTTTTGCTCTCTATGAGCTGAGCGCTGTGAAGGAATGAGCCAAAGAAGTATGAACCAAGAAAATACACAGGCAACCAAAGTAAAAATAGATAAAATGGACTATCACAAAACTATACTTCCATGTCTCAAGGACACAACAGACTGAAAAACCACTCTATAGAGTGAAGGGGAGAATGTATTTTTAAATCACACAGGTGACAGAGGTGCCTGGGTGGCTCAGTGGGTTAAAGCCTCTGCCTTTGGCTCAGGTCTTGATCCCAGGGCTCTGGGATCGAACCCCGAGTCAGGCTCTCTGCTCAGCAGGGAGCCTTCTTCCTCCTCTCTCTCTCTCTCTCTGCCTGCCTCTCTGCCTACTTGTGATCTCTGTCTGTCAAATAAATAAATTAAATTAAATTTTAAAAAAATCACACAGGTGATAAAGGGTTAATGTGCAAATTGTGTGAAGGCCTCCACAACTCAACAACACAAAACAAACATCTCAATTAAAACGAACCAAGGGTTTGCGCAAAGGGAATTCTGGCACACGCTGCAGCCCGATGAGCCTTGCAGACACCAGCTGAGAGAAATACACAGGTCATGGACAGACAGTGCATCATTCCACTTACTTGAGGCACCTAGATTCCAACTCAAATTCAAATGACTACAGACAGATTCTGGAATGGGGACTGTCAGGGGCTGGGGTGGGGGCCAGGAGCAGGGGCTGTTTAATGGGCACAGAGTGTCAGTTTTGTAGCTGAAAGTGGTCGTGGAGATTGGTTGTCAGACAACGTGACTGTACTAAGCACCAGTCTACATGCTCAAAAATGGTTCATGGGGTAAGTTTCTTATTACCTGTACTTTCCCCTATGAAATTCTGACCAGCCGGGGGAGACACAGTTAAGCAAAGTCAATCAACAAGCAAATAACACCACAAGACAACCTGGGACGACATGCCCCGTGCTGGGTGGTGCCCAGGCTTGCCAGGAGCGCTGGGGGACGAGGCTGAAGGCTGAGGACCACGGACGGGCCACAGAAAAGCACTCGGATTGGATCTTAAAGAGCGGGGAGGCAGGAGGAGAAGGGAAGGGTGTTCCCAGCACCAAGGACATCTGGGCAAGAAGGGAGCAAGGAGACTGGAACCTAAGAGCGGTGAGAGGGGGCAGCGGCAGGACCGGATCAGGAACCAGTGTGGTCACCCTTCCACTATACGCAGACACGGCTGTTCTGGCTACCCACTTTATCTACAACCATGATGCCCATTTTGGGATAAGGATATTAAAGCACAGAGAGGGCGCCTGGGTGGCTCAGTGGGTTAAGCCGCTGCCTTCGGCTCAGGTCATGATCTCAGAGTCCTGGGATCGAGCCCCGCATCGGGCTCTCTGCTCAGCGGGAGGCCTGCTTCCTCCTCTCTCTCTGCCTGCCTCTCTGCCTACTTGTGATCTCTCTGTCAAATAAATAAATAAAATCTTTAAAAAAAAAAAAAAAAAAAAAAGCACAGAGAGGTTAGTGATTGTCCCTGGTCACACAGCAGGTAAGCCGTGTGAACACCGGTTCAGAGGCTGTAGTGAGTCAAGCGCCCAGGAATCAGGACAGTGGGAATGAAAAAAAAAGAGGAAGGCAGATAAATGTCTGAAAACAGGCTTTCTGATCCAACAGATGACACGGGGGAGGGGCATCAGGAAAGACTCCACAGGACGGAGACTTCTCACCAGGGCCGCTCCCAGACAGCAGGAGACCATGCAGTAGGGAAGGAGGCAGGCTCCAAGCCTGGGTCCTCTACCTCTAAATGAGCTTCCGGACCTCAGCCAAATCACATTTTAAAAAAAAGAAGGAGAAAAGGAAAAAAATGGGAGAAGAGGAGAAAGAAAGCAGCAGAACAAAATAGAGGCCAAAACAGTGTCACGCACTCTTAAGAGGAAGTACGGTGTTTTGAAAGTTCTGCCTGGATGATGTATGTATTGTATAAATGGCTAGCTTGCAATAGAAAGATTTCTTAATGTGGTCAAAAAAGTTTGAGAAACTCAAAAAGTTTGAGGAAGTTGCCTTAGCTCCCAGCTCCTTGTCTCTGCTGTTACCTACACCCCCCCAGCAAGTGGGCGCTGAACGAGTGAGTGAATGAACAAGAGAGTGCAGCCCCGCCCAGGCCAGCACTGTGTCCCCAGAACGGATGACAGTCCCACCTTTCGTGCCTTCCTCCTCCTCCGTCCTGGCCGTGACAGCATCGTCCTCGTCCTCCTCCCGGATGATGAGGCGGCCATCGGCGCTCACCTTGAAGCCGTGGTCCTTCTTCTTGGCCCGGCCAGGCCCAGGCTGTGTGGCTAGTGTGACAGAGTTGGACAGTGAAGAGGTGGCAGGTCAGTCCTAAGCCACCCACAGCCCCCTCCAAACCAACGACACGGGTGCCTGCAGCACACGGTGTGTGACTGTGGTGGTGAGGGGTGCCCACTGGCCTCTGGGGATGTCACCCCAACCCCTGAATGGGGCACCAAGGCGAGCCTCTTTTCTGGACTCATGTGCCAGTCACTTCTTGCTTACCGAGGACTCGCTGGGCCACCTTAGGGTCCAGGAAGTTGAGCGGCTCATCTCCACCACCCTCCTTCAGCCACGCCCGGCTCCTCTGTCGGGCCAGCCTCCGGCGCTCCTTGGCCTGGCTCCTTTCCTCTTCTTCCTCCTCCTCCTCCTCCGAGTCGGCCAGAATCTCCTCGATGCTAAGGACAGAGAAGTGGCAAGTCAGGGTGTTCCCAGGAGAGGCGGGGGCAGCTGAGCATGGGCTGGGCAGGCTGTGGCTGAGGAAGACCCAGTCCACAGGACCCCACTAGGGGTCTTACCTGTCGCCTTTGCCCTGGGCAGACTCCTCTTCCTCCTCCTGCTCCTCTTCCTCGGCAGCCTGGCTCAGAGCACGGTGCCTCTTGGCGCGGGCCTCTGCCTTCCGAATGTTCACCAGGACCTTGTGGTACTCCTCGGGCAGCAGCCCCTTCACCAGCTCAAACCTGCAGGGCAGCGAGAGGCTGGCAAGGCGCACGGCCACAGAGTGCTCTTTGGAAGTAGAAGGGCTCAGCCAGAGCCCTGCTGGCCACAGGGGCGGGACTCAGACCCAAGCCCTCCTGTCCAGTCCACTCTCTGCAGGCTCCCTGCGGGGACTGGAAGCCCCTCAACTCCTCCCTGGCCCTCCCCCGTGGCTCCCGCACACAGACCCGAACTTGCGGATGAACTTGATGAACAGGTTCCGAAGCTTCATGCGGAAGTGCCGCCGCATGTCGTCTGAAAGCTTCCCAATGGCCTCCATCTGCCGGGCAGAGCAGCGAGAGTCAGGGGCACCCTCCACCTTCTCTGCCCTCTCACTGTGGTGCAGACCAGGCACACAGCAAAGGGGTGAAGGTCGCAGCAACCCCGTTCCTGGCCCACCCCTTGATCCAACTGCATTTCTGCAACCCGGCGGCCGTCCACCTTCCCCCTAAGCCTCCTCTGTGACAATCCACGACTACCCTTCCGAGATTATAGCTTCCGAGTCTTCCGAATAGTCTGGCATCTCTCCTTTATTACCTCACTGAATCCTTAGAACCCCATGAGGCAGATCGATCATGACACCCAGTTTACAGACGAGGAAACGGAGGCACAGAGAGTTAAGTGGCCGCTCCACGGCCAGGGACAGCAGTCAGCCCAGGCCTCTCTGATGCCATGGCCCACACTGGGCCCCAACACCGCCAGGCTTCTCCAGGTCCCACACAACCCTTCCACCACTCTGCGTTCATCTCGTGGGGACAATTCGCACACCTTCGTCGGGCTTGGCTGGGACCCACGAATGGGTGGCAGATCTCTGCAGTGTCCCCAAACAGAGCTGGGGACACAGAGCCCCAATGACCCTTTGAAAGGCTTTCATAAACTGTTGGCACCCCATGACAGACCACTGCTCTTGCCCTTCTCATTTCTGGTCCCCAGTAAGGTGGCAGGCTCGGGAGGGCAGGGGCAGGCTACCTTGACCCCCATCTCCCCTTTCTTTCCTTTACCCAAGGCCAGATATGAAGAAGAGAGGCAAGAGAGACCTGGAGGTGCGACCCACCCAGCTGGAAGGGAAACACTGAGGAGGTGGACATAGGGGCCAGAGAGACCCTGCTGGTGGCACACCCTGGGCCCAGCTGAGGGGCTGGGACCCAACCCCAGGGCGCTCTGTGGGCCCTTCTGCAGTCAGCCGGACTGTCCAGAGGAGCTTCCTTGAACCCAGAAGGTCAGAATGCAAACACAAAAAAAAAGCAAGAAAATGGGCCCCTCGGTGGGGAGAGCCCTGAGGGTCAGTTCTGAGCTTTGCATTCTGGTCCCAGGGCCACTCTCACTAGCAATGTGACCTGGGGAAATCTCTGGCCTCAGTCTCTCCATCTGTAAAACAAAGGGTGGTCATGCCTCCTGGCCTGCAGCCTGCAGAGCCCTTATTTCTATGAAGGGGGAGGGGGTGGGCCATAGGAGGCGGCCTGGCACCATGTACCTCCTTCACTCCCACCAGGTAGGTATGTGTTACCCTACCGGTCCTTTCCAGGGCTCCTGCATGACCTGTTCCATGAGATGGTTCAGAGCTAAACACATGTCCGGAACTTGCTGGCCTCAAGGCTTGCTGGGTCCGTGCCAGCAGGCCAGAGGCCAGGCTGCCACCCACCAAGGGGAAGGGGGCGCTTACCACCAGCGGCACGTGTTTGGCCAGGCACGCCACATCCATGACCGCTACTGCCACCTTGATGAAGCCCAGTGCTGACTTGACCACATCACGGGTGCGGGAAGCCAAGAGCAAGCACACGTTCTCCAGCAGCTGCTCGATCGTGCTGGTCCCCATGAGACCTGGAGGGGCGGCAGGGGTGGGGGTTCCAGAGGGCCACCGTCAGAGACGCCCAGGACCCCATCCAGACCCAAGATCCCTGTCAGGTCACATGAGTTGGAACTAACATTTGGGGGACTTCTGTGTATCCGGCAAGGTCCTAGTCACTCCGCATAGAGTACAGCCAACCTGTGATCAAGTCGTGTTTTTCTCTCCCATGTTAGAGGTAAGAAATTGAGGTCCTACGAGGTCCATAAACTTGCTCGAGGTCTCCCATGGTTGGTAAGAGGCAGAACCGGGACTAACACCTGGGGCCTGACCGCCTCTGATCCCCTCTGACAGTGGGACACAGGGCAACTGCAGGTACACAGGAAAGATGACATGGATAGCAGCAGGGACAAGAGGCAGCTAGGCTTGGCTTTGGTTCTTTCTCCTCCCTCGAAGAAGGAAGGTGATAGCTACCTTATTCTGATAATGACCTTGCCCTGACCTTCTGGGCATTTTCCTATCCTGAGGGCTCCCAGGCTTTCAAGGAAACAGCATTCACCTTTAAACTCAAACAGGAGGTGGGTCAGGGCCAGGATGCTGCAGCTGACCATGGTCACAGCGCCCACGAGGCCAGGGTAGATCAGGACGAGGTAGCGCTGCAGGGCTTCTGGGAGGGCGAGACAAGGGCAGTCACACAAAGGCAGAGCCACTCCACACGCTGTACCTTGGGCCCCCCAGGGAATGGGACTCCACCCAGAGAGGAGCAGCCTGCCCGCTCCAGAGCCAGGCGGCTCTCCCCACCTTTTGTCTTTAGCTAGTGGTTTGGAGGGGTACCTCCCTGACACTTGCGAGCGGAGCACGTACCCCAGCCCCTCACCTTCTTGGTTTGGGCCAAACCGAAGGAAAGCACGGCCCATCTCCAGCAGCAGGGCAAAAGCGTTCTTCCGAGCCCCCACCGACACCTCCTTGGTGCACAAGATCACCTGCCCAGACAATCCCTTAAACACGAGCTCCGGAGCTGCCCGCTAAGGGACCAGGTGGTGGCCTGAGGCAGAAGGGGGCAGGCAGGGGTGCCGAAGCTCCCAGGCAGAGAACTGAGGCACCCCTCACCCCCGTACTGCTCTCCCCCAAGCCACACTCCAAGGAGCCCCTCAGAACACACGTACACCCCCCGCCCGCACCCCTCACCTCCGGGACGAGGGCAGTGATGAACTCCTCGTGTTCAGCGGACAGCTTCTTCACGATATGTATGAGGCACTTCAAACGGGGCTGCAGGGCAGGGCGAGGAGAGTTAGGACCCCTCAATGCCACCTATGCCCCTCAAGTCCCCTGTCTCTGGGATGCTTCTCCCCCAGTGTCGCCCCTCCTCCCGGGGGCAGAGCATGGGTGCCTCGGAAGCCTCACCCTCTTGGCAGGTGAGGAGGTGCCTTGCAGCGAGTCCAGCAGGGTCGCCTTCAGGTCGTCCAGGTGGCTCTGCACGAAGCGGGCCCCAGGGCCCTGGGAACAGGCGCACACCTCCTCCAGCACCCGGTAGGCCTTCTTCTGTACTCCGTGGGCCTTGCTCTGGGCAGGGACATGGTGGTCAGGAATAGGTGAGGGAGGGGACTCTGGGGTCCCCCATCCATCCATCCACCCCCACCTGCACTGTTCAAGGACAGTCACGGTACAGCCACCATTAACTGTGACCAGCACTGGGGGGATTCGGGACCGCAGCCTGCCTCTGGAGGGCTGGCAGAGCGGGGGAGGCTAACTCTATGCCAGGCAGGGCGGGGGATGCTGCAGGGGGAGAAGGCCCGCCAGCCTCCACTCCACTCCACTCATAAGCCTCACGGTGACACTCATCCAGCAGCGGGACCCTGCAGGGCCTCGCCTGCACTGAGGCCTGTGTGCCCACTCCCCTTTCTGGCTGGAGCACTCCGCTCTCCCCTTCTTTGCCTAACTCTTTGGCATCACAAAGGAGCTCTGTTACTCCCGCTAAAACAACTCTCCAGAAGTTAGGTGGCCTTGCCCTGGCCTTCTGTGCCTGCCCGAATGGTCCAGACAAGAAGACAGGTCCCACCTTTCCAAGGAGGCCCCTCTTCCCCCAGGGGTGGTCCCATGGGAGTCCAGCCCACACGGCTCACCTCCAGGTAGGGCCGGATGGTGGAGTACAGCTTGCCGATGGCAGCTTCATCCGCGTGGGGAGCCAAGGCCACAACCAGATCCAACACAGACAATCTGCTCAGGGCAGAAGACCAAGGACGGGCTTAGGGTGGGCTGGAGAAGGGCACAGACTATCAGTGCCTTCTATCTACTGGGTACAGAAGTGGGAGAAGTCGGGGTGAGGAGGACCAGGGGCCCCAAAGGAGCCTGGGAACAACAATCACAGCTCGCAGCCAGTTTAGCTGTAAGGAACCATCTGTGGTTCCAAGGTCTTCATGTGCATTTAAGCCTTCAGTCCTCACAACAACCCTGGTGCAGGTCTATTATCAAGCCCATCTTCAGAGAGAAGGACAAAGAGCGCACAGAGCAGGTAAGTAATCTGTCCAAGGTCACAGAGCTTGTCATCAGTAGAGCTGGGATTTGAACCTGGGCTGTGTATCGCCAGGGTCCGCATCCTTCCCCAACAGGCTGTAATGCTTCTCTGAGAAGGAGAAGCCAGTCAGGCTTCATTGTCGAGCTGGGACATTCAGTATCTCAAAACCTTCCCAAATAACAGCAGAGAGAAGCCACAGGGCTTCTGCTCGACACACACTCTAGCCGCCTGGGCTGTCCCAGCTCAAGTGGAGCGTTTTACCTGGTGAAGTCAGAGCTAGCAGAGTCCAGCACCTTCTCGCTGGCCTTTTCCAGGAAGCTGTTCACCAACTGGCAGCCGCAAGGGGATGAAAAAGAGGGAGTTGGTGAAGAGAGAAACACAGAGAACTGCACCCCTCCCCACACAGCCTCGACCCAGGTGCCGCTGGTATCCAGTGCCCTGTCCCCCAGGTGGTGGAGCCCAGGCAAACCCTGGTAGGTGGGCCCTTTCTCACACACCCAACCCAACAGTCAGCCACCTGACCGTTCCTCCCTCCCCTCCACCAGCACGCTCACCTGAGGGTCTGTAATGGTCAGGTAAGTTTTGACTGTTTCCAGCACAGCCCGGCGGGGGGCTGGGGTGTCCCCAGCTGCAACAGGTTGCCCGTATAGGTTGAAGAGGATTGGCAGAAAGTTCTTGGCAAAACGGCTCACCTCCACACGGTCGGCCTCTGGCAGGAGGACCAGTTTGTGTAAGAGGGGCAGGAGTCAGCCCCGCCTCACAGGCTGTTAGGGCTGCGGCCCAGAGACAAACTTCTGGAGGACTCATGACAGGACCTGGAGCCCACAGATTTGGGAATTCTCTGGGACAAGAGGTGTCCCCATACTCTACACTCCTCCGTGGCTCTGTCCTGTGGGTCAGCCAAGAGCCGGACACATGATAAAGCCCTTACACTGACTGGATAACACCCAGCAGCTGTCAGCGTAGTGGGAGTAAAGAGAAAAGAGGCAGCTTTCAGTGTCCTACTAACTCCTTGGGTCCCCAGCAGAAGCCCCAGGTCCCTGCAAAGCCTCAGCTATGGCTCTGGCAGTGAGGCACAGCAGGCCAGGAGACCCAGGCCACTGCCACTGCCACTGCCCCCCTCCCCACCCCTAGTCTTAGGGCCCATACATACCCGCCTCACAGCCCTTGGTGACGAGGGTGCGCAGGGCTTGGCACACAGTGACCCTTAGGTCTGGGCGCTCACTGATGGCCGTGCCCAGTGTCCGCGCCAGCCCTTTGAAGGAGGCGGCCACATCCGTGGGCTTCATGCAGAACCCAGGCAGGAGGGTCCAGATCTGGGGGGTTGGGGAGGGATGGGCAAGGAGAGTGATGTCCCGCCACTCAGGCCCCCACACCATCCAACTCATGTCCCCCCAGCTGATCCCTTACCTGCCACTGGAGTGTATCGTAGATCTTGGACTCCACTGTCCTGCCAGCCTGGGCCAGATCCGTTGCTGTGTGTGACACAAGGAGAGAGTGGGACCCTGGGCACCCTTCAGGCCAGGAGCCTCATTTTTACCAAAACCAAAAGCCCAGTAATGAGAACAGGAATGTGGGTGATTCCGCTCCCCCCACAAACTGAAACATGATACTTGTTCATTCGAAAAAAATTTAAAAGATCTACATAAAAGGCAGTGGGTGTCTCCTCATCATCTTAGCCTTCCAGGGATAGCCACGACCTCTACTGACTCCTTCACATTTCTTTACACACACACTTTTAAAAATATAAACAGGCCTGTACGATGCACATACTGTTCCGAAACCTGGTTTTACTTGACGGTAAGGTTTCTGAGTGGGAGGCTGTCTGCTGGGCACGTCCATGACGACTGCACTTCCCGCTCACATGGCAGCTATCACCCAGTCTACTGAGGAGCAGACCCGGAGGAGCTGAATCAACTGCCCACAGTCACCCCGCTGCGGTGCGGCTCCGCTGAGATTTGCATCTGACCTGCTCAACTCACCGTCTCCTAAATATGCCCGTTCCCGCGTGAGGTCTCCCTCTCTTCACAAAGACCACACCATGGCCCACGGTGGGACTTATTGTAACTAAGTTCACCAGAACCGCCCTGAGGAACGTGGAGGTTTTGTCAGATTTTTATGAGGAACGGCTCTGCATATATACAAACTGGTGTGTTCTTGTCTAATTACCTCAGTAGGACAGGAGGCCGCTGTTGGCCTGCCACAGGGCAGGGTCCCATGAGGGGGAGCTGCCTGGCTGTGCCTCTAAGGGAGGAGGAAGGCTCTCAAGCACTGGCTGGCCACCTGCCTAGCAGAGGGACATGGCCCAGTGTCCTAGGAGCCCTTCCTGACCCCTTCCAGCCAAGGCTCCAGGACTAAGGTGGGGCCCATACCTTTGTTCTTCAGGGTGGTAGCCAGGGGTAAGAAATAGGTGGTGAAGAAACCAAGTCGTGTTTTCTGGACGTGGTCCCGGATGACAGGCAGCAGCCAGCTCCGTGGGAAATCCAGAGTCTCCCTGGGAGGAGGCAGGGAAGGCCCAGTGTGAGGACAGCAGACCCAGCAGCCATGGCCCACCGAGCCGAGGAGCTCGAGCCCTGCTGTGGCCTCTCCCGCTGACCCCCAAGTGACACACAGAGACCTCACCCCAAAAAAGTGAACACCCTACTGAAGGAGAACAAGCCGCCGACTGCCCCGGGGCTCGTAGGGAAGTCAGCCAGAACCGCACTTACTCAGAGCCGTCAATTTCCAAAGGCACAGCCTCTAAAACCACCTCGGGTCCCATGCTGGCCACCGCTGCCCCCACGGCCTGATCCAGAGCCGCCGTGTGAGGGAAGTGCGGGGAGAGACGCAGGTCACACAGGGACTGGAGGCACTGGAGCAAAAAAAGACATGAGAGGATACACCAAGGCCTGCTCACAGAGCAGGAGCCCATGGCTGAGTCAGGGCCAAATTCTCAAACAAGAGGATGAGAGGTCAGGAACACGGGCCCATGTTCAGCTCTAGGTCAGAGATCACAAACCAATAACCACATTTAACCTGTTGAAGAGTCTCACCTCTCCCCAATGCCCCAAGAATTTAAAAGATTCTGTATTTATTAGTAACACGTAAAAATCAGAGTTCACATACAAACATACATTTCCAGTTTATCTTGAAAAAATGGGAAACTCTGGCCAAGGGAAAAGACACACCCACGTGTGACAATTAGCAAATTAGCAGATGCTGAGGAGTGGATGTCCCTCAAGACAAGGCTGTGACCTCTGGCCCACCACAGCCCCACAGAAGCCACCAGGGCCTTGCCTGTAGGCAGCCAAGTTCATCAATCTAACCTATTAGAGGCCAGGATTCTTGAGGAAGCCCTTGCTGTCCCAGAGTGGCTCCGTTCTTCCAACCAGCAATGATGAGAGTCAGTGAAGGCCCCAAGAGGCCAGGATCTGATGAGGGGTCTGGGGCCTGCCTCCCTAGCTGGGGAGGATCCCTAGGGGATACCTGACCCTTTTTTTTTTTTTTTTTAAGATTTTTTATTTATCTATTTGACAGAGAGAGAGAGACAGTGATAGAGGGAACACAAGCAGGGGAAGTGGAAAAGGGAGAAGCAGGCTTCCTGCTGAGCAGGGAGCCTGATGCAGGGCTTGATCCCAGGACCCTGGGATCATGACCCAAGCCAAAGGCTGACGCTTAACAACCGAGCCACCCAGGTGCCCCAAGGGATCCCTGATTCTTAAATAGTTTACTCTGGGCTGCAGTAATCTGTCTGGAACCTAAGGCTGCTTAAAACACTATAATCCCTTGTTAGAGGAAGTTCAGAGAATTAAAAACAGAGAATAGGAGTAGGGGTGAGGGAGAGTCATGATGGTTCCCTGTTCAAAGCCATCAACCCCAGCCAGGACTTACTGGCCAAGGGGCCAGGGGAGGTCCCACCCCTCTTTTTGTTTCTCACATGTTGACTCAGACACTTTCCTGGAGACACTGTGCTGGGCACCTGCTGTGGGTGCCATCAGGGATACAACAGGGGGTAAAGTGCACAAGTAGCAGGCACATGACCACTCTAAGAGCCCACAGTCCGACAGCCCAATCGCCACCTCCTGCCTTGGCCCTGGCAGCTCCCCAGCTCACCTTCTTCATCACAGGATGGGCCTGCCTCCCGCAGGCCTGGAAGAAGACACACAGCAGCTGCAACACGGAGCTCCAGGCTGCGTGGAATCTGTATGTCAGGCCTTCCTCCACTGCCCTGCCAGGGGAACAGTCAGGGTCAAGTTCCTGCTCACCTGGGCCCCAATCAGGAAGTCAATGGCTGGCCCATGAGCTTCAGACCACCAGCTGGCCAGTAAGCGTGGAGCCCCGGGAAAGGCCAAAGGGGAGAACTAGCATTTACGACGCAGCCCCTGTGCTGAGTTTCATCTGAAATCCTATTGCTTAAAGAAAACTCTGAGGTACGTGGTTTCTTCCATCTTCAGATTGGGAAACTGAGGCTGAAAGAGAGGAAATAACCTGCCAGGGTCACTCTGCTAGTGGCCACCCTGGGCCTCCAAAGCCCATGCTGTCCCTGTCTCATGCTCTCCTGGTCCGACCCAGGATGGGCTGCAACGGTAGAGCAGGTGGTCTGGGTCGAGCGGGGAGAGTGGCACGAAGTTGGCTCTGCCTCCCAGCCTCCTGGAGGTCTGAGGCAAGAAAGGCCAACAGGGGTCAGAGTCGGGAAACAGGAGAGCTGGAGGTGCGGGTGGCTCTAGTTTTCCTGAAACTCCATCACAGATGCATCCAGAGGCAACAGGCCCGTTTCCTCACAAGGAGCAGGACCCAAAGCACCACAGCCTGGAGGTGAGCACACAGACCCAGGGCAGACACCAAGGATCCTCACTCCTTCCCCAGGGCCCCTCCAATGTCTGCAGTGCTCGGAGGCCCCTCACCAGCTGCAGGAAGGACAAGGATGGTCAGTGGCCACGCCTGGGAATGGCTCCTCTTGCAGGCGTGGAGGGCAGCACGGCACGTGAACAAGAGTGGGCTCTGCTGTCAGGTGGCCCCCTCCTAGTTGTATGACCTCAGCCTGTCTGTAAAGTGGGGGTCAGTACATATCTCCTAGAACCACGAAAACCACTAATGGCTTTTATTCGCTGAGTGCTTAACTGCGAGCCAGATACAGTTCTGAGAACTTTACACATACACACACATTGAACCCTCACATCTGTCAGTAATCTTCGACTGATGAGGACCTTGAGGTATTTAGACGTGGAGGACACGGGGGAACTTGCCCCAGATGACCAGCTCAGAATCCATACTCATGAGCACATGATGGCACCTGGAATGTGGCCAGTGCTCCATCAACAGCAGCTATTCTGGCACTGCACACGTGCCCCCAGTAAGTGACAAGTGGAACACCTGTCACTACAAAGAACTTTCTAGAAGGTACACCTATTCCTTCCTAACACAGATGCTGTGTTCTCACCTGAACATCTTGAAGACATGCTGGGCAGGGCCAGAGGCTGAAGAGGTCACGAAACCAATGCTGGCCATGTGGGGAGCGACACATTCCTTCAGGATCTCCTGCAAAAAGAGGCCCCAGCTGTCTGGGCCTAAAGCAGCCTCCCAGCACCACTCAGACCTCCTAGCAAAAGTGATTGCTTTTGGACACTTCCAGGAAGCCGATCCCCACCCCAAGATCCTCCTCCCCAGATCCAGCTGGAGGTCTAGGGCAAGTTCCAGGAGAGACAGAGCAGCCAGTAGAACCCTCTGTATTCTCTGCTTCCCCCCTAAAGCTGGGGCTGGGGTACCTGAAGGCTCTGAGTGGCAGCTGTCACCACCTGCGAGTGTGGGGAGAGGAGGCAAGTGGTCGCGGTTCCAAAAAAGCGAGGGAGGTGGCCCAGCCCCAGGTCCCGCTGCAGTCTGTGAAGACAAAAGCCTTCTGTGGGGCCTGGTCCTGGGCCTCAGGGACCCACATGGCCCAGGTCCAATGACAGTCACTGATTTGGAAGGTTCTACAGGGCCCTTCTAGTGGGCAATTTTAAAAAGTACTGTTATTCAAGTTAATAGCCACATGTGGTAAAAAAAAATTCAAGTAGGTCTTCAGAATATAAAGAGTATACTTTATCACACTTTTCTCCCAGACTGACCTTCAGATGAACTTTCCAGAGGAAAATCAAGGTTAAGTTTCTCAAATACTCTTCCAGAAGGTCTTACACATGTAGAAACATAGGAAGTAATATATGCTAACATCTACTTAACACTCTTCTTTTTTTTTTTTTTTAAAGATTTTATTTATTTATTTGACAGAGAGAGATCACAAGTAGGCAGAGAGGCAGGCAGAGAGAGAGGAAGGGAAGCAGGCTTCCTGCTGAGCAGCGAGCCCGATGCGGGACTCGATCCCAGGACCCTGGGATCATGACCTGAGCCGAAGGCAGCGGCTTAACCCACTGAGCCACCCAGGCGCCCTACTTAACACTTTTCATTCCCCAAGCACTGTTATAACATATTCGTTCACTTAAACCTTGCGACAACTGAGATTCAGTCCAATGACTTAATAATTTATTGTAAGTGGGGAACCTGAGGCACAGAAAAGTCAAGTTACTTGCCCAAGGTCACGTCGCGAGTAGGAGGCAGGAGTCAGGATCACACCCTGACAGTTCCGCTCCAGAGTATGCTGTGAGTCTTCTCAATACATTTTGGGGATCTTTCCGGGTGAGCATGTACCTCTCTACTTCAGCAACTTTTTTTTTTTTTTAAGATTTTATTTATTTTACAGAGATCAAAAGTAGGCAGAGAGGCAGGCAGAGAGAGAGGAGGAAGCAGGCTCCCCGCAGAGCAGAGAGCCTGATGCGGGGTTCGATCCCAGGACCCTGGGATTGTGACCTGAGCCAAAGGCAGAGGCTTTAACCCACTGAGCCACCCAGGTGCCCTACTTCAGTAACTTCTAATGGCTACAGAGTATCTCACAGTATATTGACCAGTCCTCTCCTCGGATACATTTGTGTATGGTTGTGTTTGGCTTCTAGGTTTTTCTGCTATTAGCTACAGCACTACAATAAACAGCCTAGGACGTATGTCGTGGCACAATTGTGGGAGGCTTGCAATCTCAGGACTAATCCTGAGAAGTGGAGGGGACACCTGGGTGGCTCTGTCAGTTGAGTGTCTGACCTCAGCTCAGGTCATGGTCTCAGGGTCCCAGGATGGAATCTCGAGTCCAGCTCTGCACTCAGCAGGGAGTCTGCTTCTGCTTCTCCCTCTCCCTCTGGTCCTCCCCACTTTGCTCTCTCTCAAAGAAAGAAAAATCTTATAAAAAAAAAAAATTCTGAGAAGTGGAGAATAAGGCTATTTTGCCATTTTCTGGCCTCTCCAGATAAAAGCTGGATGGTGTGGATAGAGGATGTGGGCCCAGCAGGTGCGGGCTGGAGACCTGTCTTCGCTCCTTTGCAGCGGCATGACCAGCTACCTCGCACTGCTTGTTTCTGGCTCAAGAAAAAGGCTAGCAGGGGCGCCTGGGTGGCTCAGTGGGTTAAAGCCTCTGCCTTTGGCTCAGGTCATGATCCCAGAGTCCTGGGATCGAGCCCCACATCGGGCTTTCTGCTCAGCAAGGAGCCTCCTTACCCCTCTCTCTCTGCCTGCCTCTCTGCCTACTTGTGATCTCTCTCTATCAAATAAATAAATAAAATCTTTAAAAAAAAAAAGGAAAGGCTAGCACGTTCCTCCCGGATGGCTGTGATGAGTGAGGTGGACAATGAGGGAAAGCACTCAGCGCGGGGCCTGAGAGAGCAGGCCGATGGGAGCCCTTCAGCACAGGGAAGGGAAGACACAGCATGGTGGGGCCCCAGGGTCCTCAGAGATCCTCACTCCAGGCGAAACCCAAGTTGCCAACTGATACACTTATTCTTCTCAGCCTTATTCTGGAAAAGCAAAATTATCAGGTGGCTACTGTGAAGTGGCCAAGCTCACACATGCGTGTTCTGACAGACACAGAGCAGACACTGAGTGTACAGAACTGCAAACCCCAGAGGAGGGCCTGTTAACCCAGGTGGGGGGAGGGGTGAAGCCACAGAAAATGCACGAGGTCGTCTGAGAAGGAAACCAACCACAGAGGATTCAGTCAGGGGATGACAAAACTGAGGATGGAACTGAGGCTCCACCTCTGGGGCGGTATGCTTAGCCCACCCTGCTGCTCCTTAGAGCTCACTGGTAACTGCTCTGGCAGGATAGCACCAGCCCCACAGGCCACACCATCCTGCCCTGCACCTCAGAACCAGAGCTGGTCTACAGCACACTTGACAAAGAAAACACTGCCCTCCCTCTCTAGCTTCCGGCTTCCGTCCCTCCCGTCTGCACTGCAGAGCAGGTAGACTGGCTGGAGGCCTTGGGACACACCTCCACCACACCTACCTGACCAGGTTGATGTGAGCTTTCTCCATGACCTTAAGCCAGGCCAGCAGGGGTTGTAAGTCATTCTCGCTGGGAACATAATCATATAAGGCCTAGAGGTTGGACAGGGAATAAGCAGGGGACTGAGTGAGTGTGTCTGCTGTGGCCTAATGACAATGACCCCTTCCCAGCATGTCCTAATGACAGGCCTGCACAGGTGGCCCCGGAGCTCCCAAGCCCCTTGGTCTTTCCAGGTCCTGTCTTTCCCTAATCGATGAAACCCTCCCAGTTCTGCTCTTATGGGGTCAGTGTCTCTAGAATCAGCTGAGTAAAACCTGGGTCACACAACCCTTTGGATCTCACAAAAGCCACAGAGCCTCTCTCAGGAGAAATGTACACAGGCGCACATATGCACACTTTGCAAACAAGAAGGGGATGATTATGCTCCCTTCCCCAAATCCATCCAGGGATCCCTAAATTTGAGAGCCTCTGCTCAAGATATGGGTTACAGCATGAGACCATGCTGAAATTGTTTATTAAGTTAAGTAAGAGTCGGAGTCCCCATGTCCTGTGGACACTGATGTGGCTTCGGTGGCCAGTCTCCTAGCTGCCTGCTTCCTCTCTGCTTGACTACTGGCCTCCTCCGCTGGGCTAGTCCAGTCAGCCCACTCAAGCTCACTCTGTAGACAAGTAACAGGCCCCCCCCTCACCCCTCTACCATCACACCCCTCCGTATCAGGCCTCACCGTGATGATCTGGGCGTTGAGCTCTGCTGACAGGGTGCCTAGGCTGGGCTTGGCAAGGAAGAGGCTGTGGAAGGCCTGCATGGCACAGGCTGTCACCAGCTGGAGAGGACACATACATTCAGTGGGGGACTGCAAAGCCCATGGCTGCCCTGGGCTCCTCAACCTCTAACTCCAGCCAGTGGGCTGGGAGAGACCCACACCCCTGACCTCAAGCATGCCCCCCACGCCTAGACACTCAGAGGACTGTCACTTTACGAAGGCTTGGCAGCTACTGAGAAATTTTTAAGAGATTTAAACAAAGATAATAGAGGAACATGACCAAATAGTTTCTAACAGAATGGGTTATAGAAGCAGGCTATATGTGGTGGGCAGGCTATGATTATGGCTGTATTTTCACAGGTTTTTATCTGTTTGTTTATCCAAAAAAAATATCTGAAAGGACATACAGCAAGTTGTTCTGAATGGGTTCTTCCTTCTAAACAATGATTGTGTTATTTACATAATAGATGCTTTAGAAAGAATGTATCCTCCTACAAGAGGCTATACTAAAATTAACAGAATTGTGCTAGCATGACAAAAATGTAGATCATTTTATGTATTAAAGCTACTGTACAAATTTGTGAGTAAATAAGCAAAAAGAAAAAAAAGAAAAGAAAAGAAAACAGATCCATGACTGTGGCTGAAACAGCTCAAGCAGGGAGAGGGCTGCTGCCTTACCAGTGGCGCCTCGGCTCCCTTCCCCTGACCCGATCCCTGAGACCAGCTCCCAAAGGGACCGGGACCCTGAAGATAGCCTGGTCTATCCGACACCAAGAATGGCTGGTGTCCTTGGTCATGGACAAGAGCAGGGTTGGGGTGGGGAGGCCCCGGCTCCTGCTTCTGGCCGGACCGGCAAGTTCTCAGGCATCAGCATCATGGGCCTAGGGTCTGAAGTTTAGCCCCCTGCCCCAGCACACTCCTCTGGCTCCCAGGCTGAGCTCACCACATGGCTCAAGGTCATGACCCTGAGAAGGGTCTCACTGCAGCTCTTGACCAGGCCTTCTGGGAAGCAGGGCAGCGCGTCCTTCAGCAGCGTCAGCATGTGTAGTGTGGTGGTGGCCTCCTTAGAGCCTGGCAGGCGAGGGAGCTGAGCCTCCAGCCCACCCTCTCAGGGTGGCCTCAGCCCACTCCTCCCAGGCTGGCCTTGGCCCCCACCCGCCCTGCCGGAGACCCGGTTCCCCACCTCCAGACTTCTCAATCTCCTGGATGCAGAATTTGGCCGTGGAAACGGCAGCAGGATGATGGGCAGGGGCTTTTTCACCGAACATGAACTCACTGCCCTTGAGGACGGAGCACACGCCGTGCTGGGCAGCCTTCCGGATCTGTGAGCCAGGGAGAGGGGGGCCAGGCCCAGGTTAGCATACACCCAGCAGCGCGGATGGCATGCCTCCTCCACGACCGACGCTATACCCAGCCCCGCCTGTGTGCAGACTCCTGAGCGGGGCAGTGAGACGAAGCTCGGCTCCGATCTCTGCTCTCCCACTAGTTCCCCAAACGGCCTTGAACGAGCTAACCACTTCATCTTTGAGCTGCAGCGTCCTCATTACTCCAGGGGTTCCATCAGTCACCCCACAATACCAAGTGTGACCAAGCCTGGCACTGTTCTCAGGACTGACGGTCTGGCAGTCTGGCCAAAAACTCGCTCTCTCTTTGGCAGGCAGAACACACACACGCATACACCAGGAGGTAAAAGTACTTTGCAGACTCTACGGCAAGGGTTGTTACTTTTTACACAGTGGTCAGGCAAGTGTCACTCCAGTGAAGTGACACTGCAGCAGAGACCTGAAGAAAGCGCAGAGTGGCCTCGGGAATACATAGGGAAGGAGGCGTGACCCGACCTGGGGAAGCATGCGGAGCCCCTGAATGACTGCGGACTGCTGCTGCTGTGCTAGAACAAGCGCCCTGCCCTCAATTTCAGAAGGAAATGCGGTGGCTGGCCACCACTGCCGAGGGCCTGCTCTGAGCCAGGAACTGTGAGAGACACTGGAGTCGCCCCATACCCTTGCAGCGAGCTCGGTATTACCCGCCCTATGTTCCCGCTAGGAAGCTGAGGCTCAGAGACCTTAAGTAACTCACCCAAGGTCACACACGAGTGGTGAACCCAGCAGCCAAGTGAGGAGTGTGAGACTCCAAAGCCCCACGCTGCCCCTTCCTGCCACTGTAGCTAAACCTGTCACTAACCAGTGAGGCAGCAGGGACTCAGGACGGCCTGACAGTGAATACCCCTTCTGTAGGATGAGGAGCTGCCTCTCACCTTCTAGGACTAAACAAAGACGGTGTCAGGGACAAAAAGTAGAGCCTCAGGGCAAGAGCCCAGCCCTCGGGGCAGCCTCCCCTACTCCCCCTACTCAGACAGACGAGCCCACTTATTAGAATGGCTGCCCGCTGCCCCCATATCCTGGGGGCCCAGCAGCCTCACCTTGGGCTTCGGGTGCACCGTGAAGCTCAGCAGCCCCTGGTACACTTGCAGGGTCAAAGGGTAGCTCCAGGCCTCCAGGTCCTGCTTCCGCAGAAGGGTGGCCAGGCAGGAGAGGACCTTCAAGAGAGATTCGGAGTCTCTCAGTTTCACCTGCTCCAGCCAGCTGGGAGAAGAGCCCAGGTTCTCACCAACTCCAGAAAATCACATGGGAATCCGTCGGAAGCCCATGTGGTGCCTGTACCCCTCCTGGGGAGTATCCGAGCTCCAGCCAGATCTGCGGGGCTCTGGAAGACAGCAGAGGGGAACCAGACCCAGACACTAACCCATCGGAGGGCAGAGGTGGAGCCACTGTTGGTCTGGGCTGCCATGATGTCCATGAAGGCCTTGGAGGTGTCGGAAAACTTCTTAATGAGTACAGGACTGGGCACACTGTGGGGGAAGAAGAGAGACGGCGGAACCCCGAGGGGCGTCCTACAGCAGCAGGAGCAAGCTTAGCCCTGGTCTGAAGAAGGGAGCTAGACAGAGGGAGGCAGCGCTAGCCCAGTCACTCAGCAAGCGGGCGGGAGTCAGGACAGGAGCCCACCCTTCCGGACACCACCTCCCTGTGCTTTCTGTGGCACCTGAGCTCCACGCCTCTTCCCTTCTTCACTACCCATTCCATTCCCACGAGAAGGGCCCCCACTGCTCTCCTCAGTCTTCTCCCTACCTCCCCCACCTGCAAGACCAGGGGGTCACACTCTGTACAACACCCCAAGCTACCCCGGGAGCCTCACGCTGATAAGGCCATGATGATATCAGGCCAGCTGATACAGTTCCCTTTGCCCCAAGAGACTCTGGGCTCAGACCAGGGACAGGACTCACCGCTTCAGGACAAGGTTCAGCAGGTAAGCGACAGCAGCCAGAGACTCGGGGGACTCCACTGCCTCCACTGTTGTCATCTGAGGGCCAGACCACAGGGGGTGAGTGGCAAGTTGTGTAAGCTAGGCAGGTGGGGTGCTAGGGGCACCCTGTGCCCAGCAGGATGGTGAAGAACAAGAACACTGGCGTCAGAGGTTCAAATCCTGGCTCTGCCACTGTGTGACTTTGGGCTAGCAATAAACCTGTGATTCAGCTTCCTCACTAGTAAAACAAAGATAAGTTGTTCTAACATTTTACCAAATTCGTATGTGTCAATCCCAACACTGCCCAGCCCATAATAAAAACTATGTATTACTGGCTAACTTATTCATTATGCAGAAGGCTTCTTCCATAAAGGGCCAGATCAGAAATATTTTCGGGTTTGCAGGCCATAGATGGTCTCGGTTGCATATTCTTTTGAGTGTGTTTTGAACAATCCTTTAAAAATATAAAAACCATTCTTAGCTCTCAGGCTGTACAAAAACAGGCCTTGGATCAGATTAGTCCCATGGGCCGTAGTCTGCCAAACCCTGTTCCAGAGTAGTGCTTCTCAAACTTTTACATCGTAGAATTTCTTGCAGAGTTCCCGAGAGAAGTTTTGTTTACATAGGTAATATCTACTGATACTTACCACATTAAAAATTAAAACTGAGAAATTTTTAAAATACAAGCATACACGGGGCACCTGGGTGGCTCAGTGGGTTAAGCCTCTGCCTTCAGCCCAGGTCATGATCTCAGGGTCCTGGGATAGAGCCCCGCATCAGGCTCTCTGCTCAGCGGGGAGCCTGCTTCCCCCTCTCTCTGCCTGCTGCTCTGCCTACCCTCTGTCAAACAAATAAAATCTTTAAAAAAAAATTAAAATAAAATAAAATACAAGCATACACAAGTACAATTAGCTGTTGAAATAATGTCAGCAGACATGAGATAACTTCTGGAAAACTCCATAGTACACTCATGAGCGAATGAGAGTGAAAGGGCAAATGATGTTGTAGTATTATTATAAAAATAATTTTGAGGGGCGCCTGGGTGGCTCAGTGGGTTAAAGCCTCTGCCTTCGGCTCAGGTCATGATCCCGGGGTCCTGGGATCGAGCCCCACATCGGGCTCTCTGCTCAGCAGGGAGCCTGCTTCCTCCTCTCTCTCTGCCTGACTCTCTGCCTACTTGTGATCTTTGTCTGTCAAATAAATAAATAAAATCTAAAAAAAAAAAATAATAATAATAATAATTTTGATAGCCCACGAACCCCAGAAAAGGGTCTCAGGACCAGCCTCCCACCTGCCCCACCCCTGGCCACACTTTGCCAATCATTTTTCTAGAGGATTCCCTGGGCCTAACTCAGCTTCATGGATCAGGGAAGAAAACACAACAGCAACAACCAGAATGGTAGGTTTTTGTTCTGTAAGGATAGTGTAGCAAAATACCACCAGCCTTACGAAGCTACCACCTGAGAATGACTACAGCACTCTTTTTTTTTTCTTTTTTAATAATCTCTACACCCAACCTGGGGCTTGAACTCACAGCCCCAAGATATCAAGAGTCATATGCTCTTCCGACTGGGCCAGCCAGGCGCCCCTGAAGCACTCTCCCCTACCCAGGAATGTCCTGCTCTATCTCCTCATGCCAGGGGCACCCATCTTCTCTCTCCAACGGGAATAATCTGCTGTTCTGGACACCCACTCTCAAGTCACACCTACTCACCAGTGCAGCGAAGTACTCAGTCTCTGTCTCCTTCCCTCCCTGGGAGCGAATCACCTCAGTGACAGCAGCCAGAACAGCACAGATCTGCACGTAAAGGAGAAGGCACCTAGGACATTTATTTTATACTGAATCCCATCCCTGGGCTGCTTCTTTTCCTTACTCCTTCACAAATTATTCTCCTGACAAGGCCTAGAGATAGATAAGATGAACTGCACTCAGAGCCAGGCGCACACACCATAAGACCCAGCGAGTGGGCAGACACGTTTGCTGAGACTCCACCTCTAAGACCCATCTCTTACAGGAATACCCGCACGAAACTGCAAACATTTAGGTACAAGTGTGTTCACTGCAGCAACAAACTGAAACAACACAGCAGCCATCAACAGAGGATCAATGAAGTATTACTATTATTATTTTTCAAGATTTTACTTATTTATTTGAAAGATAGAGATAGAGAGCACAAGCAGGCAGAGCAGCAGGCAGAGGGAGAAAAGTAGGGTTTCCACTGAGCAGGGAGCCGGATGTAGGGCTCGATCCCAGGACCCTGGAATCATGACCTGGGTCAAAGGCAGACACTTAACCAACACTTTAACCGAGCCACCCAGGTGCCCCAATAAAGTATTATTACTACATAATAAGTAATGATGGATTCAAATACTACAGGACTATTGAAAATAATGGGAAACAATACTATATTAATTTAGAACTACTGTTCAGTGGGGCAAAATTGCAGAACACTGCATATAAAATATAATCTATAAACGTAAATAAAAAAATACACAAGAAAGTCTAAAACAATAATGTTCATAAGAGGCTACTGAGCACATGGAACACGGCTAGTGTGACTGAAGAACTGAATCTTGAATTCGTAAATTTAAAAATGAACACTTAAGGGGCACCTGGGTGGCTCAGTTGGTTAAACGTCTGCCTTCTGCGCAGGTCATGATCCCGGGGTCCTGGGATCAAGCCCTGCCTGGGAAGCCTGCTTCTCTTTCTCCCTCTGCCCCTCCTGCCCTTCTTGTGCACACAAGCACACACGCTCTCTCTCAAATAAATACTTTTTTAAAAATCTAGTTATGGGAAAACAAATATATATATTTTTAAGATTTATTTATTTGAGAGAGAGCACTCACATGTGTGCAAGTGTGGGGAGGGAGAGAGGGAAAAGGGAGAGAGAGAGAATCCCAAGCAGAGTCCAACTCGTGGCTCGATCCCACCACCCTGAAATCATGACCTGAGCTGAAATCACGAGTTGGAGGCTTAACTGACTGAGCCACCCAGGCGCCCTGAAAACAGATTTAAAACAGCTTAGATATATGACTGTAAGTTTTAAGAAAACAGATTTAGAACAACTTGGAAATATGAACATTTTGTCATTGTAAATTTTATGACCAAATCAAGTCCTTTCAAAGAAGAGTTAGCATCCAAATAGACATGTAAAGCTAACATACACTCCAGATTCTGAAGACTTAATATGATAAAAATAATACAAATCATCTCATTTTATATCGATTATAGATTGAAATGACAATAATTAATGATAGTAAGCTTATTATTAAGATTAATTTCAGGGGGCGCCTGAGTGGCTCAGTGGGTTAAGCCTCTGCCTTCAGCTCAGGTCATGGTCTCAGGGTCCTGGGACTGAGCCCCAAATCAGCAGGGAGCCTGCTTCCCCCCCCCTCTGCCTGCCTCTCTGCCTACTCGTGCGCTCTCTCTCCCTCCCTGTCAAATAAATAAATAAATAAAATCTTTTAAAAAAAGAAGATCAATTTCATTTACTTTTTACTTTTTTAAAATATGGCTACTAAAACTTTAAATTACCTGTGTGGCTCGCACCACATGTTGGACAGTGCTGGGCTAGGCAGATACATGATAAGCCATCAACAGTAACTGCCATGAAGAAGTTAAGTTGGGAGAACAACTTTGACGTTTTATTCTACTCCCATCACTTTGGTACCATTCATAATTTTGACATTTTTCATTTAAACAATTAATATAAATATGTATAATGTAAAAGTATTAACTAAAAAAATACAAATACAATCTGGTTCTTGTTAGATAAAACATTTTCTATCTATTGTTACTCAGCATTAATTTACTCAACAAACGTGTCTTGAAAATATTCTATGTAAAAAGTCCTGCCTTACGAGAGGTAAGTATTTGGAAAATATTTCTAACCCGAGGGACTTTACACTTGAGTAGGGGAGATGCTGTTAGAAAAAAGCAGAAAGTGGAACCCGCCCTAGGAGAGCTAGTGAGTAGGGAACACAAAAGTTAGGAGAGATGACACATCATCCAAAAATACCAGCTGTCTCCCGCCACAGTGAGCCAGCACTGGGAGAAAATAAAAAGAAGCCCAAGTCTGTCTGGCTCCTCCTCACCACCCCCAAGTCCTCCTGACCCTCCCCCCTACCTCCTTGTGCGCAGCTGAGTTGGACTCCCAGAAGCGCTGCACTTTGCTGAAGGTGACATTTGTGCAGTCCGAGAGGCCGCTCAGGAAGGTGCCCGAGGACTTCTCCGTGAGAGCGGCCCCCCACTCCTCTTCCATGGCCGTCTCAGGGGCTTCGCTTTTGCCCACACGCAGGGACCCGGACTGCAGCTCATTATGCAACTTCACCGCATCAACAGTCAGGTCGCTTTTTCCTGAAAACCGGAGGCACATGTGAGGCCCTCACTTCTACCTGAACCTCCTTTTGGCCGAGATCCAGCCATACGACAAAAACTAGCAGAGTCCAGGCCCCAGCTCGAGAGGCTGAATTCTGAACATGGCCTGCCTCATCGGCCCACCATACCCCTAGAACTTAGCAAACCCGCCGGGTTAAAGTTTCTGCTTCTGTGTCCCGACGGATTAAGTGCCGGTGGGAGACGGCGCGGGGGCTGCACGCAGGGGCTTGGGACATAAATGCAGGTGAAAACACTTTGGTAAGACTCCCCCAAAGTTAATTATAGGTAAGTCCCAACTCTGACACCCGTGGTACCCAGGGCTAGTCATTGCCCTACTGCGGACTCCATTTCCCCATCTGTCAAATGCGGAGGGTGGGTCTTTACAGCAGGCTCCACGTGCGACGTTCTAGGAGAAGAAACGTTCAGCGCCTGGGCCCCAGGGCCTCCAGAGAGGCCCAGACCATCAGACCCAGATCCGCCAGAACCCCGCCGCCAGCGCGTTGGAATCTCGACCCCGCTACCTGAGGGCCGGCTGAAGAAGCGGCTGCGGGCAGCCTGGCGGTGGCGGCAGATGGCAGGGTTGCTGTCGCTACTATGGCCTTTCTTCCAGCGTTTTAACTTGGCCGAGACACCAGAGGGCAACTTCCCCGAGCGACCCATGTCGACTATGCCGGGGACAGAGCTTAAAGCTCCGGCTACAAGGGACCGGGAAACACGCGCAGAACCCACGTGGATAAGTAGACTGTTTCACTTCCGCTTTCTCTGACGTAACTTCCGGATTCGCGTCTGTTTCTATGGCAAAATAGTCAACATCCGGTTTTACATTTCCTCGGTGCTCAGGGTCCCGGAGCTTCGCAGATGAGGCTGGTTGCTGAGGAGTCCCTCGGGCTTATCTTCCAGGGCATCGGTTCTTGGCTACAGGAGTGGGCCTTATAAAACTAGAATTATTTTGCAGATTAAAAAACAACCAAACGGGGACGCCTGGGTGGCTCAGTTGGTTAAGCCGCTGCCTTCGGCTCAGGTCATGATCCCAGCGTCCTGGGATCGAGTCCCACATCGGGCTCCTTGTTCTGTGGAGAGCCTGCTTCTCCCTCTGCCTCTGCCTGCCACTCTGTCTGCCTGTGCTCGCTCTCTCTCTCTCTCTCTCTCTCTCTGACAAATAAATAAAAAAAATAAAAAAAAATAAAAAATAAAAAACAACCAAACGTGGGATACCTGGGTGGCTCAGTCGCTTAAACCGTTGCCTTCCGCTCAGGTAATGATCCCAGGGTCCTGGAATCGAGTCCCGCATGGGGCTTCTTGCTCAGCGGAGAGCCTGCTTCTCTCTCCGCCTCTGCCTGCTTGTGCGCTCGCGCGCTCTCTCTCTCTCTGACAAGTAAATAAAATCTTAAATGAAAAAAAAAAGTATATTTGTAATTTTTTTAAAGATCTAATTTCGAAAGTAAAGCTTGGAAGCAAGTTTATTTGAAAGAGTCAAAACCTGGACAAACTTGAAAGAGTAGAAAATCAGTTTGCTCCGAAACGAAAAAAAAGCTGCCAGTGATGCTCTAAACCTGCTTAGTTACTTTCATTTAGTACCGGGGGGTACCCAATTGCTAAACCGCCCCCACGCCACTTCCTCTCACTAATGTCTTCTAATCCCACATCACAATCAGCAATCAATCCTGAATTAATTTCCACTTCCATCCTCCCCAAAGTCGTTTAAATGGAGCCCAAACCTTAAAAAGATGCTTTCCTCCCCTGTCTTGGGGTGCAGTATTCCAAGATTCCTCTAGAATTCCCTCTCCCACTTCAAATCAACAAACCTGATTTCATCAAACTATGGCTGGATCCTGGTGAGTTGTTTTGCTTTGTTTTTAAGTAGGCTCCCCACCCACCCAACATGGGGCTTGAACTCACAACCCTGAGATTAAGAGTCATATGCTATACCGACTGAGCCAGCCAGTCCCCCTGGTGAGTCTTGGCTGATTAGGCTTTAATGCATTCATTTTACAAACATTTTTTAGCTGCCACTGAACAAGACATTTCAATAAGTCAGACTTCCAAATGAACCAGAAGTGGACAAAATTTCTGTATACCGCTTCTTTCACTTGATACAGTGTGAATTTTTCCCCTTGCATATGGTCTGAATGTGTTTTTTAATATTTTATTTATTTATTTCCAGAGAGAGTACAAGTAGGGGGAGTAACAGGCAGAGGGAGAGGCAGGCTCCCCACGGAGCAAGGAGCCAAATGCAGGACTTGATCTCAGGACGCTGGGATCATGACCTGAGCCAAAGGCAGATGCTTAACTGACTGAGCCACCCACACATTCCTGTTGTCTGAATGTTATATCCCTGCAAAGTCCCTATGTTGAAATCCTAACTCCCAAAGACGATGGTGTTAGGAGGTGGGGGTCTTTGATTTAAGTCATTAGAGTGAAACCATCATGAATGGAATTGGTATCTTACAAAAAGATTCAAGAAAGATCCCTAGTCCCTTCCATCATGTGAAGACCCAGCAAGAAGGAGCTAGCTATGACTCAAAAAATGGGTCCTCACCCAAAGCATGCTGGCACCCTGGTCTTGGACTTCCAGCCTCCAGAACTGTGAGAAATAAATTTCTGTTGTTTACAAACTACTAAGCCTATGTTATGTTGGTATAGCACCCTGAACAGACTAAAGACACCCTTTGTTCTTAAATATCCTTTTGCAAAGATGATTCTCATAAACTGTTGCTACTGAGCTCTGGGGAGCTTGGGAAAAACATAGATCCGCCATATAAATTTCATGAAGACAAGAATTTTGCCTTTGTCACTTCCATTCCCAAGATCTGGAGGAGTGCCTGGCAAAGAGTGTAGGCACTCAACAAATTAACTGTTGAATGAATGAATGAATGAGTATATGTGTGTTGTGGTGGAAAGAAGAGGGACTAAAATAGGGGCACAAATTATAAAAATTCAAGGATAAATGTAAATACCAATAACTTAGCCAAACTGAGATGGTGTTTGCCTCCAAAGATAGATACACAAAGCTCAAAACATACATTTCTGAGGGAGTTAAGAAGTATCAAAAAATAAATTTTGGTCCAAGAACCAAGAAGCTATAGATGGGGAATAAAGAGAAGGCTGGGATGAAATTCATGCAACAGTAGTGTTGGTGCTGGAAGCAGTCACTGGGGGTCATCCAGATCACAGGTCACTCGCCAGTCAAGGTCAGTACTGTAGTGGTCTGTAGTAAAAGAAGTACAAACTAGTGATGCTGATACTCAGATGCCTTCTCTCTTACAAAGCAATAGTGAGACTAAATGAAAGGTTCCCCCCCCCAAAAAAAAACATTATTATTTGCCAAAATAAGGAATTGGCAACCTTCGGTTGGGTCTTCTTTTATTTTTTAGTTATTTATTTATTTTTTAGACCAAGGAGAAGGGGCAGAGGGAAAGGGAGAGAGAGACTCTTAAGCAGACTCCATGCCCAGTGCAGAGCCTGACACGGGGCTTGATCTCACAACCCTGAGATCACAACCTGGGCCAAAATCAAAAGTTGGGCACTTAACCAACTGAGCCACCCAGAGGTGCCCTAGGTCTTCTCCTTTTAAAAACAAGTTTACTGGGGCACCTGGGTGGCTCAGTGGGTTAAGCTTCTGCCTTCAGCTCAGGTCATGATCTCAGGGTCCTGGGATCGAGCCCCGCATTGGGCTCTCTGCTCAGCAGACAGCCTGCTTCCCCCTCTCTCTCTGCCTGCCTCTCTGCCTACTTGTGATCTCTGTCTATCAAATTAAAAAAAAAAAAAGTAGGAAAAAAAAAACAAGTTTACTGCTGTGAAAAATGAAACATATCTGTAAGCCAATTTTTCATTGGAATATCTGAGCCAACTCTTCACTTTGCCAAGTCCAGAAGTATTAGAAGTCAGGATAGCATTCCCCATGCTGGTAGTAACTGACAGTGGGAACCAGGTGTGTGGTAATATCCTAATTTTTTAGCAGAAGGGATTTTACACGGAATCTTCACTGCGGGATAATTCATTAGCTGTGTGCTTATAATTTGTGCGCTTTCTGTATACAGGTTACTCTTCGTTGATTTACTAAAAATAGAAAGTGCTCCCGGCATGCAGAGCAGAGAGAGGACAGAGACTGTTAGTGTGAGAAGGTGTCACTGCAGAGAAGGTAACTCAGTGCTGACTCTAGGCCCTGTACCTCCAGCCACGAGGGTCAACACACCACCTGCTGGCAGAGCCCGCTCCCAGGACACAGACTGCGGTCTGGGTGGTAAGGCTGAGAGAAGGGAACTGGTGGCCTGAGGAGGAAGAGGAAGCCGAGTTTGGAAACTGTTGTAAGCAACCTGGTGCTCAGAGGTCTAGATATGGGAACAGTCACTGAGAGAAGACCTAGAAAGTGTTGATAAGAGTCTGGACTTTACTGCACGACACTGGGCAGGGATGTCTGTTTCACGTCCTGGAAAGTGGTGATAATAATACTGAACCCAGGGGCACCTGGGTGGCTCCGTGGATTAAAGCCTCTGCCTTTGGCTCAGGTCATGATTCCAGAGTCCTGGGATTGAGCCCCACATCAGACTCTCTGCTTAGCAGGGAGCCTGCTTCCCCCTCTCTCTGTCTCTGCCTGCCTCTCTTCCTATTTGTGATCTCTGTAAAACAAATAAATAAAATCTTTAAAAATAATAATAATACTGAACCTACTGGGCTATCCTGAGGATTCAACATGAAAGTGTGTATGTCAAAATTTGTACATCTCCAAAACCGTTAACTTGCGATGAGTGTGGTGGTGCACCTCTGCCAGCAGAGGGAGCTCTGCAAACAGCCAGTTAAAGCTGAAACCCTGGAGGGAGGCAGCAGTGTCTGGGGAGCAGGCTGGGCGTTTGCAAATCAGATGGGAGATGAAGAGGCCCTGGCTAGTGGCAGTCTTCCCATCCTTTTCTTGGGCACAGACACCTGCCTCCAAACTGAGTCTGCTAAATCACAACTAGGTACAGCATCTTGATGAACCACCTGTCTGGGAGTGGGCTGGCCCTCCACCTGGAAGCACACTCCACGCAGAGCCTCCTCCAGAAGCTGGTGTCAGGAGAAGGGACACGAGACATCCAGATGGCTTGAGCATACTTTCTCCCACTCTGCACAGCTAGGGTTCACCTTTCTGGTGAAGGACCGACTTCACTGTCTTTGAATTCCAGCATCGTCTTCTATCTAAAGGAATTAGCCTTCTCTATGATAATCCATACAATTTATGGCTAATAAGGACCACTCACATTTGTAGGATGGGTCCTGTAGTTAGACCTTCTGGGGTAGAATCCAAGTGTCTGACCTTAAGCAGGTCACCTTACACTCTAGGCCTCGGTTTTCCTCAGCTGTAAAATGGGGATAAGAATGCCTACCCACAGGGTTTATGAGAACTAAATAAGATAATACCTGTAAAGTGCTTAGCACACCTCCTGGCATGTAGTGAGAAGGCAATAAATGTGAACTTATTATTATTCAAAAAGCTCTCAGGGTGCCTGGCTGGCTCAGTTGGTAGAGCATGTGACTCTTGATCTTGGAGTTGTGAGTTTAAGCCCTCTGATTACTTAAAAAAAATAAAATCTTGGGGCGCCTGGGTGGCTCAAGTCAGGTCTGCCTTCAGCTCAGGTCATGATCACAGGGTCCTGGGATCGAGCCCCACATCGGGCTCTCTGCTCAGCGGGTAGCCTGCTTCACCCTCCCTCTCTCTGCCTACTTGTGATCTCTCTCTCTGTCAAATAAATAAATAAATCTTTAAAAA